CAATTCCCGCATCACGTGACTGACATGGCGTATGCACACTAATGATTTTTCTCGGGTAACACTACCCAGTCATATTACTGGCGTGTTGATATTAATGTTATTTTTTTTGTCAATATTGCAATCTCATACAAATGCAGTCATCAAGGCAATTGAAATCTGTGTCATACACAAAGAGCATTTACGGTTATTGCACACGCTGTTAAATACATCATAGTATTTAATATATTGTAATATACGTGCACTGTCACGCTGGAAAATACATGAAAAAATATGTAATATATTGTAATATACGAGGGATGGTCAAAAAGTTCTAAGCCTGACTAACTTTCAACTGTGGGCCATAACAAAATGAACTGGTCAATGTAGTACATTGTTTATGTAGTTCATTTTATCATCCAAAACTGGCTCCCACAGGAGATATCGCTTGGATGAGATCAAGCGATATCTACACTATAGATATCGCTGCAATGAAATTACATCACAATGCTTTGCAGACCATTGTGACGTCACTGGTTACCATGACGTCACAATCAAATGACATCACTAATGGCTCTGCTACTGAAGCTGTTAGCAGTACCTTTTTACACTGAAGACACTGCTAATTACTGTCAACAAATTGAAGAAGCTGGAAGAATGATGTTGGATGATAAATAAAATCTCACCCTTGTGTCTTTTGATATCAAATATATCAACACTCGTTGATAAAAGTGGCAAAAATCCTCGGCAAGCCTCGGAATTTTTCCACATTTATCAACTCGTGTTGATATATTTGATATCAAAAGACACTCAGGTGAGATTCTCTATGTAAGTGTATTTGGTCTGTTGAGGTCGTTTGTATATTAGTGACAGCCAGTTGAACGTGATAGGGTCTAAATGGACACACGGAGCTCGAGATAAGCTGCGTGTTGGCGTAAAATACGCTTTTAAATAAACTGAAATACGTGGACAAATCAAATCCTAGCGTATCAAATACTATAAATACGCTATTGAAATCAAATTAATGCGAATACTACAACTGTTAGATACAATTATTGTGTATACTACAACTGTTATATAACATGATTGTGTATCAACCGATCGCCAAATTCACTTATTGACAGTTAAATTCGGAAAAGCTTGTGTGACAACCATACTGATAGATGCCAATTTAAAATCACATCGCCTAGTAAATGTACATGTTGTATCTTAAAATTCGCTGATTGGTGATACAAAAATAACAGTTTTTTCACAATGCTAGGTTTTGCAAACAAAACCAGCTTCCCGGAGAGAGAGCCGCAAGCAGACGGAATTACTCCACACACTTCTTAATGATTTACAGGGATTGTTACGAAACAGGTTTTTGAGTTAAAATACCCAAATGTCAAGAAACGGGTGGGTAAAAATTTTTGAATACCCTCTTAAAGTTGTGGATACCAAATCCAAATCAAACCACTTGGTGACATACACAAATAACCAAAACCTTATCTATAGCTCTGGACACAGAAATGGAGAAGAACGAGTACCGAGCAGTCATCAAGGTTTTGACTTCAGAGAAATGTACTCCCCAAGAAATTCATGACCGCACGTTACAAGTGTATGGGGAAAAGTGCCCCAGCTATTCCACTGTTAAACGTTGGGCAGCTGTGAGAACAAGCTAAGAAGATGACCCTAGGTCTGAACGCCCCTCAACTTCCATCAATGAAGATTTAGTCAAGGAAATAGGAAAACTGACAGATAGACATTTTACCCTTGCTGAACTTGAGGAAGCCACAGGTCTAAGCCATGGATCCATTGAAACTATATTCATGAACATTTACAGATGAATAATTTATCTTGCTCGTTGGGTGCCAAAGTTTCTAAATTCTGAACTTAAGGGAAAAAATACTGACATTGCCAAAGAAAATTTAGAGCTAACTGAGGAGGATTTCGTCAAATTAAAAAAGATATTAGTAACGGAAGATGAAACATGGGTCTGCGACTATGATCCCGAGTCAAAACATCAATCCATGGTATGGCACCATTCCACTTCTCCGGCACCAAAGAAATCAAAGTCTTCAAGACCAGTGAAGAAAGTTATGACCACTGTATTCTGGGAAGGGTGTCATCCTTGTTGATTTCTTAGGAAGTCACAAGACGATTAACGGTGCCTACTATGCTGATTTACTTCATTGCCTGAGAGATTATATCAAAGAAAAGCGGCGAGGAATGCTGACTGCTGGAGTTCTACTACTTCATGACAATGCCTCTTCTCACACCTCTCGATCGCGACTTGCAAAGGCTGCTGTGCGACAATTGGGTTCGAAGAGCTTCCTCACCCTCCACACTCGCCAGACCTGGCTCCAAGTGATATACACCTGTTTCCTTAACTGAAAGAACACCTTCGTGGATTGCGCTTTGATGACAACAATGACCTCAAAACTGCCGTGAATGAGTTTTTCAGGGTGACTTCAGAATACTTCTTCCTGACTGGAATTGAAAAGCTTCACTATCAATACGAGAATTATTTTGAAAAGCAGGGAGATAATATTGAAAAATAAAATTTAAAACACTTTCGCAATTGTTGGTTTTGTTTGTTTCACTCAGACGTTTTTTTACCAGCCCTCGTACGTGCATAATCACACTGGAAAATACATGAAAATATGAAATGATATAAAATATATATATATACGTGCATAGTCACTGAAAAATACATGAAAATATGTATCATTGTAATGTATGTGCATAGTCACTGTGGTTTAGTTTAAGATCCGCCTAAGTATGTGCAAATCTGGCTGCCAAATGTATGTTTCAAGTCTTTTTCATATCGGGGCATCCATATTATCTGGATAAAGTCTCCCTGGTCATGTGGACTTGTGATAACAAGTTCATGCCCTAGCATTAAAAAATGTGAGAAATATTGTTTATTCGTGTGGTGTACGCACTCTGGAGATTCAGTGGCATACCGTCGGCTTTTTGAGGGGGGGGGTAACCATGATGGTTATGTTAGAGTCATGACTTTTCAACATTTTTTTTACAGGTGGTTAATAGACCGTGTAATTCCGATCATACAAACGTGATCGGATTGAATGTACACTGTATGTTTATGCTGTGCAGTGTGACCTTCGCCTGGGAGTTTGATCATGTAGTTCGTCATTCAGTCAACACGTATTTTTCATTTTACCACACATTCTACATACGTCGTAGCTTTTGTCTTTAAAGCTATTAGATGGTTGGGTAGCTTAGTTTTGTTCGTTTGTTGTTTAACGCTGCACTCAGCATTATTCCAGTTATATGACGGCGGTCTGTAAATAATCGAGTCAGGACCAGACAATCCAGTGATTGATATTATGAGCATCATAATCGCCAAGTAAAGGTTGCTGAAGACCTATTCTTTCCCGGATCTTCAAGGGAAGGGAATAATTTAAATGTTGCGAATATGATTGGATATAATGCCAAACACATTGGTGACACTCCCCCACATGTTCACATGTTCACTTAATGTTTTGTTGAAAGTTTTAATACAATGAGATGACAGTTGTGGTACAAACCGTAACGAAGTATTGATTGCACTTGTGTATCAGATATTTTAGAATATGTCCTTGTTGATGGAAGATACACAAGAACATAATTACTCTTAAATATAAACCGTTACAAGGTGTCGAGGGGATCCCAACACCTAAAAGGGCCATAGTCATCGGATGAAAGGAGGCCACTTCGTCTCAATACAATATGGTTGTCTAGATTAACTGCGATAGCCCAATTCCAGCAAGTTAATGTGGGTCTGTAGTCCAATAATTGTATTAGAAACTTAGATGACATCATCAGCATTTTGTAACAGGATGATTTCTTGAAGGGGCCGAATGCCATGCTTACTTTCGCAAACAATTTCATAACACAATTATTTAAAACAAAATAATATTGGACTATGTATACAGGGTTATGGCTGAAACGGCACCTCAGCAAAACGGGCGAAAACATCACCGATAGGCGAAAACGTCACCTCGCCTCAAGCGAAAACGGCTACTATTGCCTGGCGAAAACGGCACCATATTTTTTTTTACCTTGGTCAAATAAGTGATATTAAACTTACATGGTAACTTGCAAACACAAATAATTGTGAGATGTTAAAACAAGTTTTCTTTAGAAATTGGCCTCCACTCCAACTATGATCCCCTTATCTTATATGCAACGTACTGTGAAAACATAACATGCTTTGAAGAAAACTAATAGAAATTAAACTCACATCGTCTCTTGTAGCGACCAGAACTGGGATGCGACTGTACGTAGCGACCAGAAGTGGGATAAACAGTCCACACCTCACGAAGGTTATGATATGATAGACAATCAAATAATACATTTGGGAGTGATATCATGGTTAGAAAAAAACAACATGCTGTATCATGTGATAACTGTGACCATGTATACAACCTTGTCGTAAGCCAGTTGGACATTTGAAATTGCAGCTTATACAAGATGTCAGGGACAAGACTGGGAGCGTTATCTATTTCCTAAATGAATCTAAAAAATAATATAAAAATCTGACATGAACGTTTTCTCTCTTCCCTGGTTTTCTGAATGCAGGAAAACCTTTAGAAAAATAACAAAGGTTCACATTTTAGTTTTGTTTGGTTGCATTCTGTTTGGTTGTGTTATTTTTAACAAATTAATAGCAATAAAATGAAGAAACTATATGAACGATAAAGTATCACGAGAGTTGCAATGCGAAACTGTATGACAAGGAAACTTTTAGGAAATCTGCAAAAACCTATTAATTTCCATTTGTTTCATCAGAGACCATATAATATCTATTATATGGTCTCTGGTTTCATTGCATTCCGATTAAACTAAAAAAAAGAAAAATGCTAATGCGTTTAACCACTACTAAATGCTGACACGCCTTATCATGGATGAATTTAACATTTGAAATGAGCCTACGCTGATTATTAAGTAAATAAATAGTGTCGTTAGTATTTTATAGGAATATTGTTTCTCGCTGTAGGGCGCTCTACCAACAGGAGCAGTGCGTCACCCAGATGATTAAGAGTGACCTCCCTTAAATATTATTATCAGAACGAAAACAGTGACTTTTCACTGGAAGATATGGAAAATCAGTATTTTTGTCGACCTATGGTGTGAATTGTTATCCACAGTGACTGCACAGTCCGTACAAAACAGAATCGGGTTCGCTAATGTGTTGTCGACATTCAACACGCGAGGTCGGCCCGATCGGGAATGGCATGTTTTCCACCAGCATGACAACTACCGGTACGTGATCATGGTGATATAATAATTATAACACACACACACACACACACACCAGTCCATACAGTCTCTGGTCGCGTTGGGGTACAGAAATATCAACGTCACATCATCAACAGGTCAAACACAGGGAATATTAACCGTATCACACACTAATGACAAAATATACTTACGCAGGTTATGGTACATCCCGGTCATCAGGTGCGGAGATAGAGAAGGTGAACCTACAAGTTCATGAGATTATTCCGCAGTGTTATTAAAAAAGGAAAAACCTTTTCATTTGATCAAATATATATGTGTGATAACAATATTATGATGTGTATGTGTCTGGTTAGAAATTTGTCATGATTCTATCACAATATGTCCTCTAACATATGATAAATTAGGGAACTATTTTTGCCATGTGTTGAGTGGATATCACATGTACCAGCTGTGGCGTCTACTACTATCCCTTCTGATACGCGTTTACATCCCATCAGCAATTAAATAAATTTCATGCTCAATCGATTATATTGTAACAACAATGCAAATTAATTGCCAACATTGAAATAATTTGCAAAAAACTTCTCCAATTTCAAACAAATCCAACTTTTATCATGCTCAATAGTTTTGTATATGTGAGTGAGTGAGTGAGTTGGGTTTAACGTCGCATTTAACACTATTCCAGTTATACCACGGCTGTGAATGAGAAAAAACAAATGCATGTTTAGTTTGACAATCTAAAAAAATAATTTTGGGTCAATATTAAGAATGCTTTGTTACTCATACAATATATATTTTTGCACTGCCACAAACAATATTGTGAAATTGTTAATGCATATTTCCATAAATTTAATGAGTCACCCATTAAAAAAATACCCACAGATGAAAATTAATTCCTCCCCAACCACCCAACCCTGAAAAAAAGGGAAAAAAAAGAAATATAAAAAATGTATCAAAATGTTTCAAACAAGCGAAAGAGTTATATATCTTTTGAAGCAAGTTGGAAGGTAGATGGTAAATGACAGGCATGAGTGCAGTAATCTTTTTCTTACACGCCCCCAAATCACAGCTGTTCAGCAACAAATTGATGGATATTTTGTCTTCCATCATGATCGCAGTGACTACTCACGCCTTGTTTGATCCTCAACAATTGTTTCTGACATATCTGTGGATTACCAAGGCGATGATGATAATGCAACTAGATAAGTTAAAAAAAATATTTATTAACACTCTAAAACCATAAAGTTTTGACACAGACGTAGGTAAATTCGACTGAAAGACGAGTAATAGACTAACATTTAGTCTCTGAAATCTTATATTACACAATATCCTTCTTGCCTCTAAAATAATAAATCTCCCTATGGCTAGACTTGCTTTTGTATGCGTTTCTAGATTATTATTTTTTTCATAAAATAAATATGTTCCACAGTCATGGTGCAGGACTAGACAAGAAACTTTTCAATGAATTACAGTCAGGAAAGTAGTCCGTTGTAATTTGACCTAATGTCATCACCATGGAGTAGCCAGTCTCAGATCTGGAATTTGATCTCACACACAATGATACCAGATATCTCACCGGGTTTCTCACCCACACGTGTGTAATAAAGTTGTTACTACATAGTATGATGCATAGGAGTTAACTTTGCACTGATCTGGCTTGCTGTGATTGCCTCTCCAATTGTTGAAACATGTTACATATTATTATGCACATCAATTATTATATGCATATGCATCACATTTTTGATGATCTTCAATGTGTATCTGAAAATATTAAATTGATATTTCACTATTAATCATATGCCAGAACTACTTTCATTCAGTCTCTCAATGATAATATTCTTTTCAGATTAAGATCATGAAGATCTGTAGGAAAATAACTAATAACTAGAACATTTAAAATTACTTGTGAAATAACCTTATAATCTCATTTTGTGACATGTAAAAGTCTGTATATTGAAAATCTCTCAACCCGTGAAGATCCGGGTAGGTGAGGTGAGGTGAGGTGAGGTGAGGTGAAATTGGGTTTAACGTCGCGTCCAAGATTATTGCACTTATATAGCGACGTGCATGCACGTGTGTGTGGCTGCTTGTACTAGTCCGAACTGATGCCGATACCATGCCGCAGTTTAACATGAATACCCAACTCAGACACAGTATACTGACTCCGAGCCGACCAGTCCTTGTTTTAACCCCTTAATGCCGAGCGCCAGACAGGGTAACAACAAGTACCATCTTTTAACGTCTTTTGGTATGAAGCGTCCAGGGATCGAACCCCGGACCTTCCGCTCTCCGGGCGGACGCTCTACCACTAGACCACGGAGGCGGTCTGAAGATCTGGGTAGAGAATAGGTTGAATATGCTTGTCGTAAGAGGCGACTAACGGGATTGGGTGGTCAGGCTCGCTGACTTGGTTGATGCATGTCATCGATCCCAAATGCGTAGATCCATGCTCATGTTATCAATCACTGGATTGTCTGGTCCAGACTCGATTATTTACAGACCGCCGTCATATAGCTGGAATATTGCTGGGTGCAGCGTTAAACAACAAACAGGCTGAAACTTTGTCAGATCACAAGGAATTAATAGAAATAATCCATATGTCACCACTGTATATAGACATTCTTTTACAATTGATTGTGAATTCAGTGGCATATCTTACTTCTCTGATTTTGTGTTTAACTTTCTTTCGGGATCAGCAGTGACAGAGTGGGGAATTATGAAGAAATCTCTCGGTTTGACTTTTGGGGATATCATTCACTTATTGATGGGTCAGTTAGAGTTGTGTCCCTTGGGCACACCAGAAACCTTTGATCGCAGGTTCGATCCTGGTTCATCCCGATTATATTTTTAGGTATGTCAGCACCATACCCATGCTTGAGGGTTTCACCAAAGTGGTAAACTACTGAGGCCTGCATCCCTTCGTTTTTTCTCCCACATAAAGCTGACACGCTGTGATATAACTGGAATACTGTTTAAGTGGCATTGAACCCAGCTTGCTCGCTCGCTCACTCACTCACTCACTCACTCACTCACTCACTCACATGCTTGCCGTAAAAGGCGGTATGCTTGTCGTAAGAGGCGACTAACGGGATCGGGTGGTCAGGCTCACTGACTTGGTTGATGCATGTCATCGATCCCAATTGTGTAGATCGATGCTCATGTTATCAATCACTGGATTGTCTGGTCCAGACTCGATTATTTACAGACAGCTGTCATATAGCTGGAATATTGCTGAGTGCAGCGTTAAACAACAAACAAACAAAACAAAACTTACAGATTGGCCTTGAAGTTGTCAGGGGGCGCTTGTTGGATCACGGTGAATACGGTACCTCACTTTGATGTACCAGGTGAGCAAGAGAGCCATGTTATAGTTGTTTACATTATTACATAATTATTACATTTATGTAATTTCAGGTGTTGATGTTAGCCAATCAGAGCCAGAGTGGACACTTCACCTGTTCAGATATAACACAAGAATAAAGTTTAAGAGGTAGGTACATTTTCTGAATGTCTTCCACAGTTGCTGTTTAATTTTATATCTAAAATGTATGATGCCATATTGTATAAAAGTTGATGAATAATTCATATTTGACATTATGTGTTTTATAGGACACTTCTTTAACAGTTTTTGTATCCGTTAAGCAAATATAAAATAACCACAGACTAATAATTCTTGGAAAAGGACAACCAAGAGTAAAATTATGAGGGTGTCAATTAGTAGTGGGATGACACACTGATGCATTGGTGGATCGCTATTTTTTACTTCTCGATACAAGTATTGAACACAATCGCATACAAAGTAAAAAGTATCGATTCTTACCTTAAATGTATTCTTCAATAAATGTTACACCAAACAGTAATTACTAGTGAAAATGAGAAGTGAGGACGTAAATATTTTCATCCATTGTGCCCTACTTGACACTGCAAACTGCAAATCGTTAGTGTGCTGGTATTTGGCCATCCTGTCTATGAAAAAACATGGCTCACACTCCACAGATAATTGCACATGCAAGTACCTAGATATATATCGGATCATGAGCAAGGTATCGTGATACGTATGGGATCGCGCAGTTGGTGTATTATCATGGGCATTAAATATGTACATAAGTTTTGAAATGATGCTATATACAAAAACAAAAAAAAATGTTAGAAAACCTTTAATGGTAGTTATTCATAAAATATACTTTAATGCATAAAATATCAAAATATAATATCATTGCAATGTTCTAAATCACCTACATATTAAACCATAAATACTCTGTCACGTAAACCAAAACATTCAATAATTATCTCTGTTATGTTAATGTGAATCTAAACGCCATGTAAGCTATGACTTAATTTGAGTGTCTAAGTATCAATGTAAACAAACCTTAATCCCAATTATCCAACTAAATAAACATATCCCTAAAATAACATTGTTTCCACCACTTAACTACCTCTGTATTCAATAAGTCTAGACAGCACCCTAATTACCTAGAGCTAATCATCTAAAACAATAGATGTCACCTGTCAACTAGTAAGTGTCAAAGGATACACATCTTAAGGTTCCAAATAGTTCCAAACCTTATAAAAACATTCACATAAATGTGAATCCCTAATATGGTTGGTCAACACAACCTAACCTTGTTGTGATTGGTCAACATGCTCAAACCCATGGTATACCACATATAAGTTAGTATAAATATTGGTCTGGAAGAAGTGTCTAGAGACACACCCACATCTCGACTTGGACACTCGACTAGACGTGTCCTCCCAAGCTCGTGCCTAAATCACCACAACCATGAGAGATTTATCCACGTCCTTGCCGAGGGAGCTTGTTTCCATCCTGGAGCCCTTGCTGGCCTACCAGGTTGGTGACTACTCCCTCAAGACTTCTTATAAGTCTAAAAAGTCCACCCTGTCCATCTCCTTTGACCTAGCTCAAAGAAAGAGGCCTCTGGGCAAAGCTACGGCAAAACCCAAGCCTCAGGAGAACCCCTATCTGGCCCCTACCCTTCCTGCACCTCGCCCGGTACAGAAGGTCAGGCCTCCAAGGAGGAAGAAGTCCCCATCAGTCTCCGTCATGGAGATTGAGGAGACCCTTCCCTCTACCCCCCTCTACATCCCGTCTCCAGAGGCTTTCCCCCGGTCAACACCCACCGCGACAGCTGAGTGCCAGACATCCACACCGGCTCCGCCTGCACTCAAAGACAGCCAAACCCAGACTTCCCCACCAGAGCCTCCCTCGCTCAAGGACAGCCAAACCCAGACTACCCCACCAGAGCCTCCCTCGCTCAAGGACAGCCAGACCCAGACTACCCCACCAGAGCCTCCCTCGCTCAAGGACAGCCAGACCCAGACTACCCCACCAGAGCCTCCCTCGCTCAAGGACAGCCAGACCCAGACTACCCCACCAGAGCCTCCCTCGCTCAGCAACAGCCAGACCCAGACTGCCCCACCAGAGCCTCCCTCGCTCAAGGACAGCCAGACCCAGACTACCCCACCAGAGCCTCCCTCGCTCAAGGACAGCCAGACCCAGACTACCCCACCAGAGCCTCCCTCGCTCAAGGACAGCCAGACCCAGACTACCCCACCAGAGCCTCCCTCGCTCAAGGACAGCCAGACCGAGACTACCCCACCAGAGCCTCCCTCGCTTTGCAACAGCCAGACCCAGACTACCCCACCAGAGCCTCCCTTGCTCAGCGACAGCCAGACCCAGACCTCCCCGGTCGAGGTCCCCCCCACGGGACAGGGACCTTCGGGCTACCTTGCTAGAGCGAGCGGAGGGCCTCATCAAGCACTACAAAGCTCACCCTGAACGCCAAGCGGAACACTTTGAGAACAGCCCGGTACAGCTCTACCCCGACAGCCATCCACGGAAATTTCAGCATAGTGCAGTATCTCGGGAGCGAGAGGTTTGATCACGACATCACCAGTTTTAAGGATTTGTCCCACTTCCTCGTGGACTGTGATGTCAAAACTGACAAACACTTTGTCGCCCACTCCGCCGCCCTCCTCGCCAGGACCCTCTACAAGTCCCCTAACCCTAGGGAACTAGACTTAGCAAAGAAACTCCTGGCAGGATACCGCCGCTAGCCAACCTCCAACCTCCACAATGCTTGCCAGCCGACGCCGCCTTCAACCGCTTGACCCCCCCCCCCCCCCCCTCCAACCCAAGCCAAATCTTTCCTTATCATTACATACTTTTTTATCCCCCACTCCCACCCAGCCAAACCCCGACCCTTTTGCATTTTTTAGAGTAGGTCTGTAAACCTTTACATTTTTGGGGGTTGCACTTCTTTATTTATTCTTTATGCTTTTTTCCCCAATAGTATAAGTGCAACCCCCTGTGAGACATACGATATAGTGTATTTATTACACGCGGAAAGTGCACGTTAAATCTCCAAGTTAGTTAGTTGGTTAGTGTCTAGCGACTTGGGTCCCAATGATCTACAGTACAGTGCTCGTACAACAACTAGCTATAATAACTTTGTACATAGCACTCTGGTGGAACATGCTATAATGTAAACACATTAGATATATTGACTTACTGCTTCAAAAACGGTGCCTGGTGTGAGGTAGTGTGGTCAAGAGAATCACTTCCGTGTTGGGTGGCATCTGACCTACGGGACCCTCCATTAGGGGACATCCTACCTGCTTACGTGTGTACAGCTGATTGCTGTTTCCGGCTTTGTTTATGAGAAAATACACACGGTAAATTGAATCCCTGTATGTAAGACAATGCCTAGCAGAACAAAAAATACAATTTAAACAGTAAATCAACATGTCTGGTGATTTTTTATCTCAAATTTCAAATTTGTACTGTCAAAGTTTCTCATCACCCGTTCATTTACCGGAATTCACTGAAAGGGTATGGTGAAATTTTTTCTGCGCATAATATTCAATTATATTTTTTCAAAAAACTGAATCCGCTAGAGGGGGGTGCACATTATACTTGGGTCCCTGTGACAATCAAGCATTTGTGGAATATTGATAAAATCATGTAAAGGATCCCTACATGGGGGAACAGCCCCGTTTGGCTTGATGGACAGTAGGGTAGTGTCGTTATTAAAACATTAGCTTGTCACTCTGAAGTACTGGGTTCGATTCCCCACATGGGTTCAGTACATGAAGCCTATTTCTGGTTTCCCCCGCCGAGATATTGCTGGAATGTTGTAACAGAGTTGTAGTCACAGTCTCCATCTTCATGTTTTGCCTCCTTTAATACTCCGTCGTGTGCCCTGTGATATTGTGTCTTGTCAGTGTAACTCAAGATAAGAAATAAAGTTCCTTGGTTGCCTTATTAATGTTTTCTTGTTTATTTTCAAGATGTCTTAATTTTCGAATAAGGCCAAACCTATTTATTCGTTTAAATTACAGACCTCTGTCACTTTTCGAGGCTTATTTCAAAACAGTTATAATCTGAAATAAAATTTAGTGATAAAATTAACAGTTACAATGACAATTTAACAATGTATGTTCTCCAACTTACTCCAGCCAAACTGGGTGGGTGGGTGTATTATCCTGTTATACATTAGCATGATTAGTCATTGATTGTTTATTATAAAAAGTGATAATTATTTATTTTTCCTTCCTGTCTGATATATTTAGGATGAAAATCCTTTAAATGAATTTTTAATTCCGTATTGTCAAAAAATGTGTTTATTTCTTTGCAGACAATCAAAAAGGAAGAAATGCACCTCTGTAATTGCTCAAAGTGTTACCATGGTTACAACGGAATGAACAATTACACGGAAACTGAGAGGTAACACGTAATGTATTTAATTTGCTTCAACCCAAGCTGCATCGCCAAGGTTCAGTGGATGCTATGACATCACTGAAGTACCTGTCTGTGTGAGGCTGGGAGCACCATCATGAACAGCGCTGAGGCAGCAATCACCTTCCTCCTCAACGCCCAGTCGGGGGACATGGAGGGTGTCTGTCGGTACCTGGATGCTGGCGGGGATCCCAACTTCACTGCACCACCGGTAGGAGGGGGATACTTTTTATATACTTCAGTGTGAAAGACACTTGATATTTCACTGTTGTGAACACAACACTTTGACAGAACTATTGTCAAACAAGGGCTATCTCAACGGGAATTGTCTCCCTTTATCATAAGTGTCTGGCCCGTACACAAACTGTTGACTTCCTTTTTATGTTAGTTCCATGTTCACAAGCCAAAATAATGACAGATGGTCATTTATGGAGTTAACCTTGCTTCTTTTACACTTTTAGCTATACTTTTATACTAGTGAGTGAGTATGGTTTTACGCCGCTTTTAGCAATATTCCAGCAATATCACAGCAGGGGACACCAGTTATGGTCTTCACGCATTTACGCACTGGGTGTTACTGTTCTAAAACAGAAAAAAGTTGGAAGAGTGATGTTTGATGATGAATAGAATCTCACCCTTGTGTCCTCCAATGTCAAATATATCAAGACTCATTCATAAAAGTAAAAATATCCTTAGAGAGTCTCAGGTATTTGTACATTTTATCAACTCATGTCAATAGCTTTGACTTTGGAAGACTTGGGTGAGACATACAGGTGAGAGTTACCGTATTCGACCTAATAAGCGCCCACGGCAAGATTTGCTGATATATTGGCACATTAGCACCCCTTCTGACCCCTATTTGCATATAATACGCACCGCTTCCTTCCCCTATAATACGCACTCGTGTGTTATATGCACCCTTTATTATTGGCAATTAAATTCTGGAAACATATATCTGTCGTACATAAACATTTCAGGCTGTCAGCATAAACCACGAAATTTATCTTTCAACTCTGTTTTTTTTACACCAAAATAATATTCTAATAAGAGCCCCCTATTTCTAATTTTGAGAGGGCCCTGGGCGCTTATTACGTCGAATACGGTACAGGAAAACACATAAGTTCTGGTAAAAAGAAATAGTGTCCATGATGTGAAAGTATGTGTGATTGAGGTGATGTCTGGAGACACTCATTGGGGTATCTATCATCATAGATGGAGCTGTGTGGTGATTGATTCATTATGGTTCACACATGGGGAACAGGGTAGAATTGGTCCTCAGGGACCCATTTCTGGTTGTAACAGGTGAAAAACAGGTGAGGAGGCTCTGATTTGGATGATTGCATGTCATCATGCCCTGATGGTGTGGACCATTGCTCTTGTTCCCAGTCCAGACTTGAGTATTTGCAGGCTACCTTAATGTAACTGAAATGTTTCTAATTGAGGAAATGTAAACTTTTTTTTAAGAGAAACATGACTGCATTGTTGATGGCAGTGAAAGAAGGCCACACCGAGATCGTAAAAGAGTTGCTGAAGCGAGGAGCAGACATCAACTGTAGATCACAGGTGGGTGTGAGGGAGGGGCAGACATCAACTGTAGATCACAGGTGGGTGTGTTGAGGGAGGGGCAGACATCAACTGTAGATCACAGGTGGGTGTTGAGGGAGGGGCAGACATCAACTGTACATCACAGGTGGGTGTGTTGAGGCATATCTCATCACTTATATGTTTTCTTGTCAGCGAGGTGTGTCGTGTGTCCACACCGTGGCGATGGTCGGGGATGAGAAGATGCTAGACCTGCTGCTTGAGTATGGACTGAAGATCGACTCTGTGATGTCCATGTTGCATGTAAGTACTTCCACAAAGGGAGGAATATAGCTGAATTAGTGCTGACTGTGGCACAAAACAAATATATATATGTCCATGAAAACAATCATTGTCCCCAGACTTGGTGAAACAATTTGAAAAGAAATATCTAATAGAAACAAGTTTACCTTCGACATCCTGCCATTGTGAGTTGGTGTCTTTTTTACCCTCCAGCCCCCTCATTGATGTACATTGTGTTTACAGATGAAGTACACTCCCCTGTACCTGGCAGCCCAGCAGAACCACCACAAGGTGATTGAGAAGCTGCTGCTGCACGGAGCGGACCCTCTCTGGGAGATGGAGGTGATGTGGTTATCTCCCCCGTTGTCCTGTATCCTGTAGTTACCTCCCCTGTTGCCCTGTATCCTGTAGTTACTTCCCCTGTTGTCCTGTATCCTGTGGCTACTTCCCTTGTTGTCCTATGTCCTATAATTACCTCCCCTGTTGTCCTGTATCCTGTGGTTATCTCCCCCGTTGTCCTGTATCCTTTAGTTACCCCCCCTGTTGTCCTGTATGCTATAGTTACCTCCCCTGTTTGTGTCATGTACGTACATCCCCTGTTGTCCTGTATCCTGTAGTTCCCCCCCCCCCCCCTTTGTCCTGTATCCTATAGTTACCTCCCCTGTTTGTGTCATGTAGGTACATCCCCTGTTGTCCTGTATCCTGTAGTTACCTCCCCTGTTGTCCTGTATCCTGTAGTTACCTCCTCCGTTGTCCTGTATCCTGTAGTTACCTCCCCTGTTTGTATCCTGTAGGTACATCCCCTGTTGTCCTGTATCCTGTAGTTACCACCCCTATGTCCTGTATCCTGTAGTTACCTCCCCTGTTGTCCTGTATCCTGTAGTTACTTCCCCTGTTGTCCTGTATCCTGTAGTTACCTTCCCTGTTGTCCTGTATCCTGTAGTTACCTCCCCTGTTGTCCTTTATCCTGTAGTTACCTTCCCTGTTGTCCTGTATCCTGTAGTTACTTCCCCTGTTGTCCTGTATCCTGTAGTTACCTCCCTTATTATCCTGTATCCTATAGTTACCTCCCCTGTTTGTATCCTGTAGGTACATCCCCTGTTGTCCTGTATCCTGTAGTTACCACCCCTATGTCCTGTATCCTGTAGTTACCTCCCCTGTTGTCCTGTATCCTGTAGTTACCTCCCCTGTTGTCCTGTATCCTGTTGTTGTCACCCCTGTTGTCCTGTATCCTGTAGTTACCTTCCCTGTTGTCCTGTATCCTGTAGTTACTTCCCCTGTTGTCCTGTATCCTGTAGTTACTTCCCCTGTTGTCCTCTATCCTGTAGTTACCTTCCCTGTTGTCCTGTATCCTGTAGTTACTTCCCCTGTTGTCCCGTATTCTGTAGTTACCTTCCCTGTTGTCCTGTATCCTGTAGTTACTTCCCCTGTTGTCCTGTATCCTGTAGTTACCTCCCCTGTTGTCCTGTATCCTATAGTTACCTCCCCTGTATAATGTGTCATGTAGGTACATCCCCTGTTGTCCTGTATCCTGTAGTTACCACCCCTATGTCCTGTATCCCATAGTTACTTCCCCTGTTGTCCTCTATCCTGTTGTTACCTTCCCTGTTGTCCTGTATCCTGTAGTTACTTCCCCTGTTGTCCTGTATCCTGTAGTTACCTACCCTGTTGTCCTGTATCCTGTAGCTACCTTCCCTGTTGTCCTGTATCCTGTAGCTACCTTCCCTGTTGTCCTGTATCCTGTAGTTACTTCCTCTGTTGTCCTGTATCCTGTAGTTACCTTCCCTGTTGTCCTGTATCCTGAAGTTACTTTCCCTGTTGTCCTGTATCCTGTAGCTACCTCCCCTGTTGTCCTGTATCCTGTAGTTACTTCCCCTGTTGTCCTGTATCCTGTAGCTACCTTCCCTGTTGTCCTGTATCCTGTAGTTACTTCCCCTGTTGTCCTTATTCCTGTAGTTACCTCCCCTGTTGTCCTGTATCCTGTAGTTACCACCACTATGTCCTGTATCCTGTAGTTACCTTCCCTGTTGTCCCGTATCCTGTAGTTACCTCCCCTGTTGTCCTGTATCCTGTAGTTACTTCCCCTGTTGTCCTGTTTCCTGTAGTTACCTTCCCTGTTGTCCTGTATCCTGTAGTTACCTCCCCTGTTGTCCTTTATCCTGTAGTTACCTTCCCTGTTGTCCTGTATCCTGTAGTTACTTCCCCTGTTGTCCTGTATCCTGTAGTTACCTCCCCTATTATCCTGTATCCTATAGTTACCTACCCTGTTTGTGTCATGTAGGTACATCCCTGTTGTCCTGTATCCTGTAGTTACCACCCCTATGTCCTGTATCCTGTAGTTACCTTCCCTTTTGTCCTGTATCCTGTTGTTGTCTCCCCTGTTGTCCCGTATCCTGTAGTTACCTCCCCTGTTGTCCTGTATCCTGTAGTTACCTCCCCTGTTGTCCTGTATCCTGTTGTTGTCTCCCCTGTTGTCCTGTATCCTGTAGTTACCTCCCCTGTTGTCCCGTATCCTGTAGTTACCTCCCCTGTTGTCCTGTATCCTGTTGTTGTCTCCCCTGTTGTCCTGTATCCTATAGTTACCTCCCCTGTATAATGTGTCATGTAGTTACCTCCCCTGTATAATATGTCATGTAGTTACCTCCCCTGTATAATGTGTCATGTAGTTACCTCCCCTGTATAATGTGTTGTGTAGTTACCTCCCCTGTATAATGTGTCATGTAGTGACCTCCCCTGTATAATGTGTAGTGTAGTTACCTCCCCTGTATAATGTGTCGTGTAGTTACCTCCCCTGTATAATGTGTCGTGTAGTTACCTCCCCTGTATAATGTGTCATGTAGTTACCTCCCCTGTTGTCCTGTATCCTATAGTTACCTCCCCTGTTGTCCTGTATCCTATAGTTACCTCCCCTGTTGTCCTGTATCCTATAGTTACCTCCCCTGTTGTCCTGTATCCTATAGTTACCTCCCCTGTTGTCCTGTATCCTATAGTTACCTCCCCTGTATAATGTGTCATGTAGTTACCTCCTATATGCGTGATATCCCTGTGTACACTAGTGTATCATGTATTGCAGGTCCCCATAGACGATGCATCACCATGTCTGGCACAGTGTGTAAGTATGTATTGAGAAAAGTCCTATTTTGATAATAAATATACTGACAAACATGGAAATACATAATCAAATTGTTATATTTGACAAAATGTCCACAAACATCGAGCTAAGTTAGACATGAGATAATCATACACATCAATGTGATGTTGTCAGACAGTCATCATTCTCAGTCATGCAAGTAAGTATTTACTGCTGGGACTGTTTTCTTGTCCTTCGAGTCAAAGTTGAGTATGTGTTTTCATTGTGTGTCAGTATAAAATGCTCTTCTGCACTGTTTAGTCTCTGCCTGGCGACCACTGAAGATGAAGTTGACTGTGGTAATCTTAATATATCAACTATGATAAGCCAGCATCAAGTAGTGTTTATGTTCCAGAGGATGAAGGCATCTGACGTAGCAATGGTGTTGGGCAACGCAGAGGCTCTCAGTGTGTTCATCTTGTGGTGTCATCGTCTAGGCCCCTTCACGCACGACAAGGTGGACAGGGTAATAACAGAGAGGGACAGTAAGATAGTACAAATATACACATTCAGTTGTAGTGTTCAAAAAGTAATGTCTTGAGTCAAGACTTGAACACAGTGATACAAGGTACACTTTTGATGCTGAAGGGAAGGGAGTTTCATAGAGAGGCACCAGCATGAGAGAAGGATCGAGCACCGAAGGACTTTGGTCTGTATTTTGGTACAGACAGGAGATGTTGGTCATTGATCGGAGATTTCTGGTAGATTTGTACTGGAGAAACACTACTTGAAGATAGGCAGGTAGGGACACACACAACACATGTTCAGATGATGAGGGCTGTACTAAGTCCAGATGATGTTGTTGCCTCCTTAAAAGATACATGTTACTCATGGGCAATGACATCATACCGGTTCATTGTCATAAAGATGATGACATCGTACTAGTTCATTGTCATATAGATGATGACATCCTACCAGTGCATTGTCATATAGATGATGACATCCTACCAGTGCATTGTCATAAAGATTATGACACAAGTGCATTGTCATATAGATGATGACATCCTACCAGTGCATTGTCTTATAGATGATGAAATTATACCGGTTCATTGTCATAAAGATTATGACACAAGTGCATTGTCATATAGATGATGACATCCTACCATTGCATTGTCATATAGATGATGACATAATACCAGTGCATTGTCAAAAAGATGATGACACTATACCAGTTCAGTGTCATATAGATGATGACATCCTACCAGTGCAAATCATATAGATGATGACATGGTACCAGTGCAAATCATATAGATGATGATATCATACCAGTGCATTGTCTTATAGATGATGAAATTATGCCGGTTCATTGTCATAAAGATTATGACACAAGTGCATTGTCATATAGATGATGACATACCAGTGCATTGCCATATAGATGATGAAATAATACCAGTGCATTGTCATAAAGATGATGACATGGTACCAGTTCATTGTCATATAGATGTAGACATCATACCAGTGCAAATCATATAGATGATAACATGGTACCAGTGCAAATCATATAGATGATGACATCATACCAGTGCAAATCATATAGATGATGACATCATACCTGTGCCAATCATATTGCTACAAAAGATTCTGGTTGATTGAAAACTTCCTTCTGAAAAAATAATATACAACAAATGAATGTGGCAAAGAAAGAAAATAGTATTGAAAGTGCCCAAATAAATAAATTAAGCTGTCCATCTCCATTCTGACCTTCCAGCTGCCGAACCACACGCCCAGTACGGCCGCCACGCTCCGATGTAGCATCATGGACAAGCTGGAGAACCTGGCCACGATGGCGCAGAAGAAAGAAATGGACAGCTTCACTGAGGTACGGCCTTGCAGCCGGGGAACACCATGGCGGGGAAGTCGTAGTGACTGACTGAAGACCCAGTATTCAAATTGTAGCTGATTTGTTGCTTTGTTTTTTATGTCTTCTTTTTATTCCGGGTTGGAATAGGTCCCCAGCATCCCATGCTTGTTATACAAGGCAACTTTGTGGATCAGCTGGTCAGGATCGCTGGTTTGGTTTGTGTTGTAGTTTTGAATACACAATGACATTTAGAAAGTGGTCAAATGTAACAAATGTTATACTTGGGATAACAATTTCTTTGTAAAGTACAAATTCTAGTACTTTTTTGGGCCGAGTCCCCTCCCTTGTGTTGCATTTTTGTCATCCGGGAATACACTACTGTTAGGAAGAGGATTAATGAGAAATTTATTTCATTCGGTGTCATTGTCAGTAATAAATTAGTTGAAATTGAATTGAATCCAGTTGCCAGATTTACCTCTCAAAGACTTCATCAAGGCTGCAGAGGCTGGCAAAACGGACAGGATGACATCCTTCTCCAGCTGTCAAGATGTCAACGCTACTACGCCAGTAAGTGGGACACCCATGCTGTGTGTGGCATGAACAACAAACAAACAAACAAACAAAAACATCTCCTTACAACCACTGAAATTTTATGTGTAAAAAATTTGTGCTAAAAGCAGCGTAAAACCATACTCACTCACTCACTCTGATCTGGTACTAAATATGGCCACCATTGCAGCCATATTGAAAATATCATTTTGACCAACTTCTCAATTATGCTCACCAAGTTTGTGTTTAACCAAACCGGTTAACTAAGTATTCTCTGAAGGATTGATTCAAACAGTAAAAAAATTGCTATCCTTAAAAAGAGGTCTTTCTGTATCTCTGTTGTATAAAAACTTAAGTTACATGTTTTGCATACTTCAGATCCTTATTCATGATAAAATGTGAATATATGATGTTGCAAACATTCCATAATATGCAGGTGAACAACAGAACCTTGAGACTCTTTTATCTAAGTCACTATGCTGCTGATACATCTATGCCTGCTATTTAGGGGGGTCTGTCAGCACTGCACATGGCTTGTCTCCGTGGAAATATGAACAGCGTCAACTTCCTCCTCACCCACGGCGCTCGCGTCAACCTCAAGACAGAGGTGAGGCAGTCATCACTTGAACATTGAACAAATTAGTCCTCAAGTACTTGTGGACGATCTGCATCCAAAACACCTGTCTGCTCTGATAGAAAATATTCTGACAACTATATCTCACACTATTTGACACTATAGCTCAAGTGTCAAATGTTTCAAAAGAGAGTGTCTGAATATTAATTGTTTTGTCCAAATCTCCGTGGAAAGGTGTCAATAGTTTATCCATTGCCTAAACTAAATATGTTTTTCTTTGCAAGACAATATTTTCATCAGGAATTAGTACATTTTATTTATGGGGCACGGTTGGCCCAGTCGTCTAAGGCACTGCGATGAGTTGCGTCCCTTGGGCACGCGAGAAACCTATGATTATGGTTTCGAATCAAAATCGAATCGGTTCACCCGGATTATGTTTCTAGATTTGTCAGCACCATACCCGTGCTTGTGGGTTTCACCGAAGTGGTAAACGCCTGAGACATGCATCACTTCAGGCTTTCCACCCACATTAAACTGACATGCCTTGATGTAACTGGAATACTGTTAAAAGCGGAGTTGAACCCAACTCACTCACTCACTCACTCACTCACTTACTCACTCACTCACTCACTCACTCACTCACTCATTTTATTTATGCTTGAGCATGTTAATCTGTCATTTGCCAGCTGGAATGGAGGCATTGTATCTCCTAATGATATTTTTATTTTGTTGGAGTAAACAATATGTGTATTTTGCTGAACAGGCAGGTTTCACCCCCTTGTATTTCGCTGCCCAGGAGGGCTATGATGACATTGTCAAGCTGCTGCTGAAGGCCGGCGCAGATCCATGTCTGTCAGTGAAGGTGGGTAGTCAAGTCTAATAGCTGCCCCCATGGGGATTCTTGGCAGATCCGTTTCTGTCAGTGAAGGTGGGTAGTCTAGTCTAATGGCTGCCCCCAATCGCAGGTCCATGTCTGTCAATGAAGGTGGGTAGTCAAGACTAATTGCTGCCCCCATTAGGGTTCTGGGCAGATCCGTGTCTGTCAGTGAAGGTGGGTAGTCTAGTCTAATGGCTGCCCCCATGGGCATATCCGTGTCTGTCAGTGAAGGTGGGTAGTCTAGTCTAATGGGTGCCCCCATGGGCATATCTGTGTCTGTCAGTGAAGGTGGGTAGTCAAGTCTAATGGCTGCCCCCATGGGGATTCAGGGCAGATCCGTGTCTGTCAGTGAAGGTGGGTAGTCTAGTCTAATGGGTGCCCCCATGGGCATATCTGTGTCTGTCAGTGAAGGTGGGTAGTCAAGTCTAATGGCTGCCCCCATGGGGATTCAGGGCAGGTCCATGTCTGTCAATGAAGGTGGGTAGTAAAGTCCCATGGCTGCCCCCATTAGGGTTCTGGGCATATACGTGTCTGTCAGTGAAGGTGGGTAATCTAGTCTAATGGCTGCCCCCAATCGCAGGTCCATGTCTGTCAATGAAGGTTGGTAGTCAAGTCTAATGGCTGCCCCCATGGGCATATCCGTGTCTGTCAGTGAAGGTGGGTAGTCAAGTCTAATGGCTGCCCCCATGGGCATATCTGTGTCTGTCAGTGAAGGTGGGTAGTCTAGTCTAATGGCTGCCCCCATTGGCATATCCGTGTCTGTCAGTGAAGGTGGGTAGTCAAGTCTAATGGCTGCCCCCATGGGCATATCCGTGTCTGTCACTGAAGGTGGGTAGACTTTTCTAATGGCTGCCCCCATGGGGATTCTTGGCAGATCCATGTCTGTCAATGAGCAGTCAATTCTAATGCTTGTCTCCATTGAGATTCTGGGCATATCAGTGTCCTCCAGTGAAGGTGAGAAGTGAAGTCTAATCACTGCCTGCAGAGGGATTCCAGTTAGGGTGCAAGGGCGGATCCAGCATTTTTAAAAGGGATAGGTCCAACATCCTCCAATCCTCTCTCAGATAATTTTACTGCCTATAACAAACTACATTTGTTTTTCAAAAGTGGGGGTCCGGCCTGTGGTTTCTGTCAGTGGGTACTCAAATCAACGTCTTCCCGAGGCAAGGGAGTAAGTTGACTATAAAAGGCTAGTTTCCAGCCTTGTCAAACTAGGCTGCAATTATGGAGATATTTTGGCTGGACTAACGACCTATGCACAGAGTCAAATCACAATCATATAGCGAAATCGATATCCAGTTTGTAAACTGTCATGCAGATTTTGATCGATTGCAGGATTTGCAAAGCATGTGTACCGTCAATTTGGTGTCAACAGATATTTTCAAAATCTTCTCGGGTTTTTAATCAAGGTGCTCAAGTGATTTGATGCACTTTGTGAAGTAAGACCCCTTTTATCACTATATAGATTTATATTATCGATCAGATGGCCCTGACTGGTTGCCGCCATTTTGTTTGAAGCAAATGCAAGTGATATGACAGGTGGAATCTGATTGGTCAGTAGAAAGAAAATAGCAGGGACATAACTCGTAATAATGACTGGCACACTTCGAACGAGCACAGAAATTCCAGACTAGTTCACTAATTGTGGAAACTGGACTTTTCTATATTTGCCTCGGGAAGATGTCAAATCAGTTTCTGGAGATATCTTGATCTAATTGCTGATTGGTCTCATCACTGCCTGGTTTCCCCCCCACTGGAGCCAGACTGTTTCCTGATTCGTTGATTTAAAATATCAGCTATAGTCTGGAAGGTAAATTAAGGTACCGACGTTTACTACAATATCTGCAAAACTATCGGACCTACTCCAGTCAAAGTTGGTATGAGATTATTAAACAGTCATACATAACTGGATATTACATTTAAAGACAATCCGTGCATGAATAAAAAATCTGTCTATTTAGCTATCACTATATTTCCTCAACAACCAGACCTGTTCGTCACGGGTCAAACGAGCATTCATTGAAACAGCCATCTGCATAATGCTACCCCTGCGTCACAGGGCCATATGACACAGTTGAACCAATCAACTGCACGGGAATCACGCACGCACGAATACGGTGTTAGCGTTGGGCGTCTCGACGTGCGTGATTTCCATGCACCCTTTCGAGTTGAGTTGATAGTTTTTCAGATATTGTAGTAAACGTCAGTACCTTAAATTATCTTCCAGACTATACACAGGAAAGTGGTCATACGTATTCATGGATGAAGAACCCTGGATGAACTGACAATGTCCCCCCTTTGTCTCATAATGATACTCGCCACTTACAGCTGCCATTTTGTATGAATTTTATCAATCTTGTTTTTGTGTGTAAGCTGTCATTACCATACTGTATCAAATTATTGAAATGGATGTGAAGTTCTTGAACAACAGGTGGAGCAGTAACCATTGTAACATGACACTAGGACTCTGTTGCAGTGTGGGATGACTCCCCTTGGCATTGCGCTGAGCATGGAACACAGCATCGTTGTAGCAACCATCTTGTCCCTGTGCCCGGCAGCGCCTCCTTTAGCCAGCATCGACAGTGACTACCTGGATGCCAAGCCAGACGAGATGCTGCTGCGGGCGGCCTACAGTGGGGACTTGGATCAAGTGAAGATGTGCATCGATGAGCTGGGCTTCGACCCCAACAAAGTCACCAGTATTGTGAGTTACGACCCTCAGGGTCACTTGTGAAGATCTGGGTTAGAATTAGTGTCATATGACACAGTTGAACCAGTCAACTCAACTCGAAAGGGTGCACGGGAATCACGCCCAACGCTAACACCGTATTCATGCGTGCGTGATTCCCGTGCAACCTTTCAAGTTGAGTTGATTGGTTCAACTGTGTCATATGGCCCTGTGACGCAGGGGTAGCATTATGCAGATGGCTGTTTCAATGAATGCTCGTTCCACCCGTGACGAACAGGTCTGGTTGTTGAGGAAATATAGTGATAGCTAAATAGACAGATTTTTTATTCATGCACCGATAGTCTTTAAATGTAATATCCAGTTATGTATGACTGTTTAATAATCTCATACCAACTTTGACTGGAGTAGGTCCGATAGTTTTTCAGATATTGTAGTAAACGTCGGTACCTTAAATTACCTTCCAGACTATAGTTCTGCATCACACTGACCTGTAGCTCTGTGTTACAGCAAGGAGCCAAGGCTATTCACCTTGTGTGCATGAGAGGACACACGGCCATCTTAAACGAACTGCTCAGTCGGAATGCCAGCATTCACTACAAGTCAAAGGTAAGGAACCTCAAGGTCATGACCCCTGTGTACAGCCAGGGTCTGATGATAACATATACACAGTTTGGAGTTCCAAGCCCCAATTTGTCTGTCAGCAACCTTTTCTTTACTCTTCAACATACAGACCATGTTAGCTGAGCTTTGTATACCAAAAGATATTTTAACATTGACAGCTGTCATGGGTTGAGAGATATGAAGTAGTGGCTAAAAAGCAGACAGGTTAGTGCTGTTTATTTTCAATGTGATTGTTTTAATGGAGGAGGAGTGCAGAGGATTCACCATCTTCCTGAAGCAAGAGAGTTAACAAACTATAAAAGTCCAGTTTCCACCCTTGCCGAACTAGACTGGAATTTCTGGGCTCGATCGTAGCACCACCAGTGGTTATTATGAGTTGTGTCCCTTCTATGTCTCTCCTATGGACCAATCAGATTCCATCTCTTGTATTTGCTTGCAAAATGGCAGCACCCAGTCAAGATGATGTGATCAATAATCAAGATCTATATTGTGATAAAACAGGTCTTACATCGCAAAGTGCATCAAATCACGTGAGCAGCTTCATTAAAAACATGAAAAGATTTGGCAAGTATCTGGTGACGCCGAGTTGGTGGTGCACATCCTTTGCAAATCCTGCACGACAGTTTACAAACCGGATTTCGATTTTGTTACATGAATTTGATTGGACAATGCATAGACTCGTTAGTCCAGCCAAAATATAACTCCATAATACCAGCCTAGTTCAGCAAGGGACTTTTAAAGTCAGTTAACTCACTTGCCTCGGGAAGATGGGGATTCACTTCCTCATTGTATAAGACAGTGTATGTGTGAACCTGACACCACACACACACCACCCATTTACAAAATCCTGGATCTGTCTCTGTGGTTATGTTAAATATCTTGGGTTGTCAAAACCTTTTGAAATGTTGAGAAATGCTTTTTCTTCAGTTTAGCATTGGAAATAACCTGCCGTTAGTATTGTGTTGAGTGTTGAGTTAATTCTACCAACTGCTGTCTTCCCCAGCGTGGCATTGACCCAGTGCACTGTGCAGCGAGGCACGGCCATGTTGATATCCTCGGGATTCTGTTGAATCATGGCGCCTACGTCAACAACCAGACCGAGGTAGGTTTGCAGAAGGGGCAGACAACTCCTGTCTCCTTCCTGCTGGTACGGTTTCAGGAGGTTAGGCGCTTGACCAGCCTCAAGTTTAAATCTGTCTCACTGGTTATCAAGATCAGATTTGCAGTGGTTCTCAACCCATTTGTGTCTGTCATCCTCTGTGATATTGCTGGAATATTACTGTCACTCACTCACTCACTCACTCACTCACTCACTCACTCACACTCACCCACCCACCCACCCACCCACCCACCCACTCACTCACTCACTCACTCACTCACTCACTCCACCCACCCACCCACCCACCCACCCACCCACCCACCCACACCCACCCACTCACTCACTCACTCACTCACCATAGCCTGTGTAAAATGGGTTACATCTGACTGTGTATGTGTCATTGAACCATCATGGTATCGACCATTGCTCATTGGGTCAACCACTGGTGGCCAAGTGTCACAACATGTAATATGGCTGATTGTCATAAAACAACATCAACAATGTACCTCAAAATTCAAAGTGCAATGTCTAGTATTTGACTGATTTATATATTGAACTTATTCACCTTTATCTTTTTGTCCTTATTATTGGTAGCTTAAATATATACATGTATCCATATGGTAAAAAAATAGACAACTTGAAGAAGAAAGGATGTATATAATTGTGGGTATATATATGTGTTGAAGTGTTTGTTCACAGAAATGAAAATAGAAAGTTTAAACAATGAAAATGAAGATGAATTCAGAAGGATGTTTATTACCAGATTCGTGGATTCAGTGATAACCTGCCTGTTTTGTGTTGACGTATAGGATGGCATGACTCCGCTGTACATCGCCTGTCTGGAGAACCAGGCAGCGTTCATTGAAACGTTGCTCCTTCATGGAGCAGACCCAGACATAGCTGCCAAAGTGAGTACATGTAGCACCCCTGTGAGTTACAACTGATCTTCAGCATCCCATGATCATCTCCCCCCATGAAGATCCGGGTTAGAATTGATCTTCAGCATGCTATGATTGTCTCCCCCTGTGAAGATCTGGGTTAGAATTGATCTTCAGCATGCTATGATTGTCTCCCCCCTGAAGATGCGGGTTAGAATTGATCTTCAGCATCCTCTGATTGTCTCCCCTCTGAAGATCTGGGTTAGAATTGTTCCCCTGCAAACTATGATTGTCTCCCCACCATAAAGATCTGGGTTAGAATTGTTCCCTTGCAAACTATGATTGTCTCCCCACCATAAAGATCTGAGTTAGAATTGTTCCCTTGCAATCCATGATTGTCTCACCCCATAAAGATCTGGGTTAGAACTGTTCCCTTGCAATCTATGATTGTCTCACCCCATGAAGATCTGGGTTAGAATTGTTCCCTTGCAATCTATGATTGACTCCCCACCATAAAGATCTGAGTTAGAATTGTTCCCTTGCAATCTATGATTGTCTCACCCCATGAAGATCTGGGTTAGAATTGTTCCCTTGCAAACTATGATTGTCTCACCCCATGAAGATCTGGGTTTGAATTGTTCCCTTGCAAACTATGATTGACTCCCCACCATAAAGATCTGAGTTAGAATTGTTCCCTTGCAATCTATGATTGTCTCACCCCATGAAGATCTGGGTTAGAATTGTTCCCTTGCAAACTATGATTGTCTCACCCCATGAAGATCTGGGTTAGAATTGTTCCCTTGCAAACGATGATTGTCTCAACCCATGAAGATCTGGGTTAGAACTGTTCCCTTGCAAACCATGATTGTCTCCCCACCATTAAGATCTGGGTTTGAATTATTCCCTTGCAATGTATGATTGTCTCACCCCATGATGATCTGAGTTTGAATTGTTCCCTTGCAATCCATGATTGTCATAAGAGGCATGGGGTCAGGCTCGCTGACATAGTTGATGCATGTCATTGTTTCCCAGTTGTATAAATTGATGCTCATGATGTCAGTCACTGGATTGTCTGATCAAGATTTAATTATTTACAGCCAGCCGTCATATAGATGGAATATTGCTGAGTGTGGCGCTAAACAACAAACAATCTGACAGTGTGCAATGTAAACAAGATCTCACTTCTCAAGTCCAAGTTACCATCATGTGTTTAAACGATTGTCCCCTCAATATAATAATGAAGAAGAAAAGAGAGCCATGAAGGTTTATGTTATAATAATCAGATGAATTAATTAACTTTGTCTGGAAGTATGTTTTTTCAGAAACTTGTATGGAAAACACCTGACACTACAAGTACTATACATCAGTTATGACTTCTGTTTTGAGGGCGACTTCATCTGTGCCGATGTTGCTGTGCAGGAGCGGTGCGTGGCCGCCCTCAACACACTGCTGATGTGGTGTAACAGACTCGGACCCTTCACACCGTCAGCACAGGTAGGCCAGTGGTCTGGCACTAACAGGAAGTTATTTAAGTGGCCGGTCTAGATGAACCTGTTCTAGATTTTCCATAATTACAAAAGTACCCTAAAATATAAAATGAAGTTTGCTTGAAAACATGTTTATTTTGAACATGTTTTGCTTTGTATCTTTTTAAATGTATAAGGGTTAAAAAAATATAACAACTGGTTCTGAGGCAATGACTTTGGAAAATATAGTGGTGTGGTATTTTTTTTTCTTGTTCAAACTGGTATGTAACCAAATAAACAGTTGTGTACCATCAACCTTGGAAAGGGCCTCCCAACATAAACAAGCATACAAACTTCTATTGCCACCATTACCATAACACAAGATGCGCAGTAAAGCAGTAACTGCAGGCTATATTGATCGTATTGTTTTTAAGTATTAGGATTTTAGATTTTTTTGGAAAGTGGAAATAAAAATTAAACGTGCTACAGATGATTTTGGCCTAAGGTAATAATTTTTATGAGTTATAAAAATATCCTAAAGTATCATTTTTTATTTTGACTCCTCCATCTTGGTGTGTTGACTGAAAGAACTCAGCTGTTGTAAAAATATAATTTGTTTGGCATTTTCTTGTATTTTTCAGGGTTTTTCTTGGACTAGGTTGTGTTTGATGTTTTTGTGAAAATGCTCTTCTTGAATTGGTTGTACTTATATTCCAGAAAATGAATTATGTGGAAGAGTCTGCAGAGAAGGTCCAGTCGAAGATATTGACTGCTATTGGTGAGGTGTCCCTTTCGCAACAGATCGAGGAGTTTGACAGCATCAGAAGGGTAGGGTGCTATATAATTGTACTTGCCTGATTTTTTGTATTTTTGAAGACGTTCAGTTGGTTTGGATGTTGTGTGTAACTTTCTGAGTTCATTTTTGCAGTACTTGTTAACCTTGTATTATGACCTATATCATCAAATACTACACATACTCCAGACACTTACATAACACATGGCTGTACTGGATCTGATTATGTTGATGGTTTCGCCCTCCTGTTGCATGTATGGACCAGCTGAGCTCAGATGGCAACAGGCTCGTCCTGGAGGAGGCTCGCAAGGGCAACACTGACTTCCTCCACACACAGCTCTTGCAGCTCAACACTGCCATACCAGCTGCAGTAAGTAGACCCCTCTTGCAGCTCAACACTGCCATACCAGCTGCAGTAAGTAGACCCTTCTAGTTGGTCAGCACATCCATACCAGTTGCAGTAAGTAGATCCCTCTTGTTTGTTAGCACACCCATACCAGTTTCAGTAAGTCGACCCCTCTTGTTGGTAAGCACACCTATACGAGCTGCAGTAAGTAGACCCCTCTTGTTGGTTAGCACACCCATACCAGCTGCAGTAAGAAGACCACTCTTGTTGGTCAGCACCCATACCAGCTGCAGTAAGTAGACCCCTCTTGTTGGTCAGCACACCCATACCAGCTGCAGTAAGTAGATCCCTCTTGTTGGTAAGCACACCCATACCAGCTGCAGTAAGAAGACCACTCTTGTTGGTAAGCACACCCATACCAGCTGCAGTAAGTAGATCCCTCTTGTTGGTAAGCACACCCATACCAGCTGCAGTAAGTAGACCCCTCTTGTTGGTCAGCACACCCATACCAGCTGCAGTAAGTAGATCCCTCTTGTTTGTAAGCACACCCATACCAGCTGCAGTAAGTAGACCCCTCTTGTTGGTCAGCACACCCATACCAGCTGCAGTAAGTAGATCCCTCTTGTTGGTCAGCACACCCATACCAGCTGCAGTAAGTAGATCCCTCTTGTTTGTAAGCACACCCATACCAGCTGCAGTAAGTAGACCCCTCTTGTTGGTTAGCACACCCATACCAGCTGCAGTAAGAAGACCACTCTTGTTGGTCAGCACCCATACCAGCTGCAGTAAGTAGACCCCTCTTGTTGGTCAGCACACCCATACCAGCTGCAGTAAGTAGATCCCTCTTGTTGGTAAGCACACCCATACCAGCTGCAGTAAGTAGACCACTCTTGTTGGTAAGCACACCCATACCAGCTGCAGTAAGTAGACCCCTCTTGTTGGTCAGCACACCCATACCAGCTGCAGTAAGTAGATCCCTCTTGTTGGTAAGCACACCCATACCAGCTGCAGTAAGTAGACCACTCTTGTTGGTAAGCACACCCATACCAGCTGCAGTAAGTAGACCCCTCTTGTTGGTCAGCACACCCATACCAGCTGCAGTAAGTAGATCCCTCTTGTTGGTAAGCACACCCATACCAGCTGCAGTAAGAAGACCACTCTTGTTGGTCAGCACCCATACCAGCTGCAGTAAGTAGACCCCTCTTGTTGGTCAGCACACCCATACCAGCTGCAGTAAGTAGATCCCTCTTGTTGGTAAGCACACCCATACCAGCTGCAGTAAGTAGACCCCTCTTGTTGGTCAGCACACCCATACCAGCTGCAGTAAGTAGATCCCTCTTGTTTGTAAGCACACCCATACCAGCTGCAGTAAGTAGACCCCTCTTGTTGGTCAGCACACCCATACCAGCTGCAGTAAGTAGATCCCTCTTGTTGGTAAGCACACCCATACCAGCTGCAGTAAGTAGATTCTGTTTGTTGGTAAGCACACCCATACCAGCTGCAGTAAGTAGATCCCTCTTGTTGGTAAGCACACCCATACCAGCTGCAGTAAGTAGACCACTCTTGTTGGTAAGCACACCCATACCAGCTGCAGTAAGTAGACCCCTCTTGTTGGTCAGCACACCCATACCAGCTGCAGTAAGTAGATCCCTCTTGTTGGTAAGCACACCCATACCAGCTGCAGTAAGAAGACCACTCTTGTTGGTCAGCACCCATACCAGCTGCAGTAAGTAGACCCCTCTTGTTGGTCAGCACACCCATACCAGCTGCAGTAAGTAGATCCCTCTTGTTGGTAAGCACACCCATACCAGCTGCAGTAAGTAGACCCCTCTTGTTGGTCAGCACACCCATACCAGCTGCAGTAAGTAGATCCCTCTTGTTTGTAAGCACACCCATACCAGCTGCAGTAAGTAGACCCCTCTTGTTGGTCAGCACACCCATACCAGCTGCAGTAAGTAGATCCCTCTTGTTGGTAAGCACACCCATACCAGCTGCAGTAAGTAGATTCTGTTTGTTGGTAAGCACACCCATACCAGCTGCAGTAAGTAGACCACTCTTGTTGGTAAGCACACCCATACCAGCCGCAGTAAGTAGATTCCTCTTGTTGGTCAGCACCCATACCAGCTGCAGTAAGTAGACCCCTCTTGTTGGTCAGCATCCATACCAGTTGCAGTAAGTAGACAGGTCTTTTTGCTGAACATTTGTTTTATCTTTGGTAGTTGCTCTGATAATGGACATGCTGACTACAGTGAATACATCCGCCTCTGACCGCATGTCTGTTTTCCACAGAGGCAGCTGACCCCACTGCACTGTGCCAGCTTCGGAGGTCACACGGACACGGTCCACTTCCTGGTCCATGCTGGTGTTGACGTCGACAAACAAACCAAGGTGAGGAGGCTGTCAGGGCTGGCTGCCACGTGGTTTTCTCTAGAAGTCAGGTCTGTTTTCACTTGATGTATTGGAAGACTAGGCCTGTTTTCACTTGATGTATTGGAAGACTAGGTCTGTTTTCACTTGATGTATTGGAAAACTAGGTCTATTTTCACTTGATGTATTGGAAGACTAGGTGTGTTTTAACTTGATGTAATTGATAGCAGACTCTTGTCAACATTGGCTATGTTTCTAGGTGTGTCAGCACCATACCCAAGCTCATGGGTTTCAGTGGTAAACGTCTGAGACCTGCATCACTTCGTGCATTTCTCACTCACTAAGCTGACTCGCTGTTCTATGGCTGGAATACTGTTCAAACCCAACTCACTCACTCACTCAACATCCTCTTTTATGGTAGAGTGAGGTGAGATTCTAATTCATCCAAAATCATTCTTCAAGCATTTTCAGTTTGTAAATAGTAATAACCAGTGCCTTGAGTATAAAAAATATAGCAAACCAGGTTCTGTGGCAGAAAGATTAATGATGTCATTTCATTGTGGCGTCATGGTAACTGAATGACGTCACAATGGTCTGCAAAGGTCTGTGATGCAATTTCATTGCTTCCATGTCACAATGCTCTGCAAAAATCGGTGATGCAATTTCATTGCTTTGATATCTATAGTGTCCAGGGCCCCGTTCCACAAAACAATCTTAGCGCTAAGATGATCGTAACTCCCATACTTTAACATAGGCTTACGACAGTCATAGCACTAAGATCGCTTTGTGGAACAGGGGCCAGGATGGTAAATATTTAGAATGGTTTCATCTGACCATGTTGAAGGTGTTGAAATGTCTTTGTGTCTGTGCTGCAGGCAGGATTCTCTGCCCTGTACCTGGCTGGTCAACAGGGACATCTAGATGTCGTAGAGATGCTGTTGAACGCGGGGGCGGACCCAACACTACACTCACAGGTGATCCGCCATTGTGCTGTAATCTGATTGGTTGAACAACATTGTTGTATGGAATGTATCATCGTTCTTCGTATGAATACTTTTCTTGATAAGTATCTTCCTTTTCTCAAGACCTGTGAATATCTGGGTAGAGAACAGGTCTTCAGCAGCCCATGCTTGCCATAAGAGGCGACTATTCTTCTTGTAAGAGGCGACTTTTGAAATTTGAGGTAGTCTAACTGTAGATTAGATACCTCTTATTTACATTTTGAACATTTTAGCAAGAGTATATGCTTCTAGGCTATTGATAGGTCATTTTCATATCTAAATTTTTGTGTGAAAAGGTATTTTAGTTTTGAGGTATCGAATGGAATTAGATACCTGATTTTAATCATATTTTGAACAATAAGAATCAAGCAGAATTGATTGTCATGGTAGAATGTTTCTGCCTCACTGGCTGAGTAATAATCTGTGGTCTCATTGTCAGATGTCCTTCTTATATTGATGCAATGTTATCCGGGCAAGTTCAAGGTTTTATTCTCGTCGTTATTTTTTGTTTTCTCCTCTGTTTCAACTGTTAGACAAGTTTTGTCCTGGGTTGTAATATTTTGTACAAAGTATATGTTCATTTTCCCATAAGTGAGGATGCCATCAGAAGAACTTTGTTAGATCTGAGTGTCCATGTCTTTCCTTGTATACAAGTCTTGCATGTATTATGTAGGCAGTAAACATATTTTGTTTTCAATGTAGCTTTACTCAGCTAAACTGAATTTGGAATAATAAAAATATAAACAATGACACCAGAGAGTGGCCCTATGTGGCCAGTTAGTCAGGGGTGATGGCATCTACCGAGGCAAGAGAGTTAACTGACTTTAAAAATCCATTTTCCACCCTTGCTGAACTAGGCGGCTATTATGGAGTTACATTTTGGCTGGACTAACGAGTCTATGCATAGTCCAATCAAAATTGCGCAACGAAAACTTTTGTGCAGATTTCGGTTGACTGGAGGATTTGCAAAGCATGTGCACAGCCAACTCGCTGTCAACAGATATTTTCCAAATCTTTCCATGTTTGTAATAATGTTGCTCACGTGATTTGGTATTGCAAGACGCGTTTTATCTTGATTATCATTCAGATCGTCTTGACTTGGAGCCGCCTTTTTGTTTGAAGAAAATGCAAGTGATACTCGAGGTGGAATCTGAGTTGTCCATAACTGGTAATAGCTACTGGTGGCACTACGGTTGAGTCCAGGAATTCCAGCCTAGTTCGGCAAGGGTGGAAACTGGACTTTAAAAGTCAGTTAACTCTCTTGCCTCGGGAAGATGGGTTGATGGAGGAACGTAGTGTAGACAGTGAGAATGACAAAGACTGACACCACAGAGCGGCTCTATGTGATCAGATAGTCAGGGTGATTGAGGAACGTAGTGTAGACAGTGAGAATGACAAAGACTGACACCACTGCTGTTGTATTTCCAGCTGGGACTGACGCCCCTGGGCATCTCCATGTACACCAAGCAGCACAACGTGATGGTAGCCATCTTGTCCAACACCCCTGGCACCCAGCCCATCAGTATCAAGGGGACCTTCTTCCAGAAGAGGGAGCGTGTCAAGAGGGAGAAGAGGACTGTCTGTGTCATCACCTAACTCTTTCATGTCTATGTCAGTTCTTGCGTAAAGGATTCTATTTGAATATATACTGAGATATATCAGTAATGCCAAATGTTCTGCGTGCACAAACAAAGCCAGGGACAAGAGTCAGAATATACACCAGCTCCCTATTGCTTATTGAGGCGACGTAATTCAACGGCGGATCAAGCATTTTTGAAACGGAGGTGTAAAAAAATATCAAAATCCTCTGTCAATTTTCCTGTCTACAACATACTATATTTGGTTTTTAAAAGACAGAGTGTCCGGACCCACTGGACCCCCCTCTCGGCCAAATTCATTTGTCCAACTGTTCAGGCTCTGTGACTTGGTGTCATCGTGACCCGATGGTCTGGAGCGTTGCTCATGTTTTCAGTGACTGGTTTGACTGGTTCAGACTCAAGGATCTATAGGCCACCCTGCTGGAATATCTGTGACGGCTAAACAACACTCACGCATTCACACCTTGCACAAGCATCCTCACTGCAAATACGCTGATACACTTGCAAAGAATGTTTGAATTCGAAATCTGTGTAGGGAACACCGGGTTGTATTTATGTGAAAAAATCTGCATCAAAGCTTGAATGAGGTGTCGACCCCTTCTGGTACACAGATGCCGAACCCAGTTATGTTTTATTCAGATGATGCAGTGCAGTACGAGGATGCCAGGAACTGTTTGGTGGTATGCGGATATTTCAATGTTTAAATTAATTTTCATCTGTTTTTGTTGCAAAGAGTGACAAATCAATAAAATATTTAGCTCTAAACTTTTCAGCACGCATGGTCATGCTTTCTATGTGAAAGTTGCAGTCTAATTTACCAGCTGTGTGTACACTGATATGACTGAAGAGTTCTTAATTCGAGGCAAATAAAGTGGTATGCGTACAGGGGGGTGCACGCACCCTCTTGAATATTATGAAAATTGGTAAATTTTGATAAATATGTTTGCCCTTCATGTTACATGTACTTCATGCTCTGTATTTCCAGTGCTCACATTTCAGTAAACCTACACTAACCACTAACCCCTGCATCCTTTCCTGTGGTTCTTGTTATCTCAGATTACCCATCCTTGATTTTCATTAGCATTTTACCAATCAAATGTCGAAATAAGGAAAAAGGCAATGGGTAAGGCAGGTGGACATGAAGACATCCTTTCCATCAAGAATTTTTGACAGCTTTCTTTTGCATGTCAGTACATTTTTGGAATGTTGACTTTCGCCCAAAAACTCTATCATAATCAATGGGACTGGCTGTCATGATTGTTGATATTGTCAACCTACATTGAGGCTGGTTTGAAACTCGCATTGTGATTGGTCTTTTAGACTGCATAGCATAGCAAATCAAAGGGGGGTAATTTGAGATCGCGCAAACCAGGGAATGGATGCAGGTAGTCTGTCTTACAGACCCTGATACAAATATATCAAATACAGCCCATGCAAGTCTATAATGTTTGGCAAATCTAGATTTCTGCAGTATCTGAAAATGAAGAGAGTCTCTGGGGTCCTTTTTATTAAATTTTTATTAAGATAATTTAACAACTATTCTGTACAATATGTTCATTTCAGAGACTAGATGTTAGTCTAGGATGCCGGGGTCTGGGTAGGGTGCTGGCACTGGAGATATAGAGGATGTACACACTTCTGTTGGTCTGTTCTCTTTAGGATTAGCTCCACACTGTTGTGGTATGAAGGCAGGGTTGATCAGACTCCGTGACTTGATTGTTTTGGATCATCGTATCCTGCAGCGTGTGATGTTGCTGATACTATCGGCCACTAGTTTGTCTCCCATATTCAGTCATACCTAATTATTTACACCCCATGTGAAACAATTGGAATGTTGCCAACTGCAGTGTGAAACAATAAAACAGCTTTAGGATCATCATTATGATTATGATTATGATTTTAGCCAAGAGTATGCTTTCAAACAGCCATTCAAAACACACCAGCATTGAGGCATCTTGCGTCTGCTCAAACAGAAAGCCTAATAAAGATGATACCAAAGTTGCTCCAATTCTTTTGTACACAGAATATCACAAGAATATATGCATCAATACCTGGTAATTGCGCTGCAATTAACTGGGCATATTTGTCTCCCTTTGTTTTCCAGGATCTGCTGAACATGGATTCAAATCCTTGACCCGCTCTGATTATCAACTGGGTCGTATGGGATTTATTGCACATTATGTTGTGCCAGATATTCCCCAATTACGGTTCAAAACCCGTTTAACCAACTCGCCCACGCTATAGTAAAGATCATATTTACCTAGGTCCTCACACTGTCAAGTACGATATCGATACAGACAAAAACTGAAAACTAAGTGCTGATGAAAGCTTGGTCACATTAATTGTATGAAATCCATACGTCCCTGTGCTAATATTGATATTTAATAAAGCTGTTTCGCAATGGAATTCATACCAGATGGGTTCTGAAAAAAGTCGAGTCTGGACCAGACAATCCAGTGATTGACGTCATGACCATCGATCTAGGCAATTGGGATACGATGACATGCATCAACCAAGTCAGCGAGCCTGACCACCCGATCCCGTTAGTCGCCTCTTACGACAAGCACAGTCGCCTTTTACGGCAAGCATGGGTTGCTGAAGACCTTTTCTACCCCGGAATCTTCAGGGGTCCATTCACCAAGGACCTCAGTGATACAGACAATAGCTGACAATTAGGTGCTGATGAAAGCTTGGCCACATTAATTGTATGAAATCCATACGTCCCTGTGCTAATATTGATATTTGATGAAGCTGTTTCGCTTTGAAATTAACAACATATTTCTTTTGGTGTTTTCAAAGTACAAAATAACTGAACGATGGCGATTTGTCAGCTTGTGTACGAATCTCAACATTTGGGAAATCAACCCTTTTCGTGCAATATTTAAAAAAATATGTCAAGAACATTTTCAAACAATGTGAATAAAATATCTGCCTTGCAAACACCTTCTCATTGAACTACAGTAGACTACGGTTAAAACGAACACGCTTATAACGAACTGACGGATATAACGAACTTACTTTTTGGTCCCGACTATTTGCTGTAGTTATGCTGTATATATGCTTATAACGAATTACGGTTATAACTAATTAAATAAGTAGTCCCTTTGAGTTCGTTATAACCGTAGTTTACTGTAGTTCAATGAATGGGGTCAGAAAGCCATACTTTAAGAGTTCGTGAAACGATACATGTTTTTTTCTTTGTCGTAAACTCAATCCCTTTTACCCTTTGGAGCCTGGGACTATTAGACACCTCCCATAATAACTGCTTCCATTTATTGATGTTTCTGAAGACTGCACTGTTTTCTCTGAGCAAAAGCTTCTGTAACGATGCAATAAATTCCCATTCCAACCAACGGTTTCTGTATTTATTGGCGATTAATTTCGACCTGAGCACAGAAGTGATTGATCTGAATATTTGAGAACACATCGAGGACTATGACAGCCACTACTTTAAACAGTGATGTAGAAATTCATTTAAATTTGACCAGTCATGGTTTGTGTTATGCCGTTTCTACGATAAAACTGAAAATATAATCTTGACAATAAATGTGAAGCTCCGTGTTTGAATAGGCCCTAAGCGCGTTATTGTTTGTCCCACGATGATTTGCAAATACTATCAATCACAGGTTTTTTCGTGCCTGGTTGTTTACAGGTCATCGTGGCATAGCTGGAATGATCCCACTGAGACGTTAAACAACGCTCATTCGCTCACATATGTTTTACAAACAACGTCAACAAACTAAAAGAAACGCCCGTAAAATAACAAGTTACAACCAGGGATCTTCGCCCGCGTGACGTCAAATTCCCGCAGTTCTCTTCCGTGAGAGTGGTTATCACTGCAGACAATTTGTAAGAGAGGTGATATTTAAAAATGCTATACGTTGTAAAAAGTAAATCAGTATGATTTTGAATATCACGTGACTAACAGAGGAGATATAACAATTATAGGGGACGGCAATATCCTTCTTTATCATGAGCAGGCAGTGCGCCTGACGTGTACCATACATAAATCAATATCAAATTAAACGGGTGTGCAACTTATTGATTTATTGAGTAGTTTGTTTAGATATTTATTGATATAACGAATAAATGTCAGGAAAATTATTTTGCTACACAACAATAACAGTCGAGATCGTATTTATATGTTATAAAAGGGAGGGTTCAATGTCCTTTGTCTTGGATATAAACAAACTGCTGTAGCATAATTATGGTTGACAAGTCACACACACTAAGCGTAGTGATGAGTATGGTTTTACGCCGCTTTTAGCAATATTCCAGCAATATCACGGCGGGGGACACCAGAAATGGGCTTCACACATTGTACCCATGTGGGGAATCGAACCCGGGTCTTCGGCGTAATGAACGAACGCTTTAACCACCAGGTTTCCCAACAAGCTTCGACACATAAACACGGTATAAATACATTAAGGAGGGGACGGGTGGCTAGGTGGTTTAAGACGGCGATATTCGCTGTGCAGCCGGTCTGCTCCGGCTCGGGTTTGCTTGCACCCGCCTGGTCGTGGGTTTGAATCCGAGATTTATCCCGACTATGACCACTGATCATCACGAGTATCAATGTTCGACGGATTTCACCAAAGTCTTCGACCTTCTTCAAAGTGACGTTAAACCCATCCACTCACCTCCACTGTGAATTAGGATCATCTTCCCGAGGCAAGAGAGTCGACTGACTATGAAAGTCCAGTTTCCACCCTTGCCGAACTAGGCTGGTGTTATGGAGTTACATTTTGGCTGTACTAACGAGTCTATGCATCGTCCAATCAAAATCACGCAACGAAATCAAAATCCGGTTCGTAAACTGTCACAGATTTCGGTGTATTGCAGGATTTGCTAAGCGTGTGCACCGCCAAATAGTTGTCAACAGATATCTTCCAAAACTTTTCATGTTTTTAATCAAGGTGCTCACGTGATTTGATGCACTTTGCAATGTAAGAGCCGTTTTATCACAATATAGATCTTGATTAACGATCAGATCGTCTTGACTGGGCGCCGCCATTTTGTTTAAAGAAAATGCAAGTGATACGAGAGGTGGAATCTGATTGGTCCATAGAAGAGGCATAGAAGGGACATAACTCAAATAACCACTGGTGGCGCTACAATCGAGCCCAGGAATTCCAGCCAAATTCGGCAAGGGTGGAAACTGGACTTTTAAAGTCAGTTAACTCTCTTGCCTCGGGAAGATGAGAAGGATAAAATAGGTGTCAAAAGGAAAATGCTTCATGGAAAAAGACAGTTATTCAAAAGAAGGATTAAAAAACTAGGAATCAACAGGAATCATGTAGTCCTAAAACGGAAACAGAATCAAGGCGCTTCAAACACTTTCTCACTATAACGAAATTCACGCGATCAGTAATAACATATAGGACTCTGGTACTTCAAATACATCCGTTATAGCCTGACTACGGTTTTGATATGTCTGATTGTGATTTCTGGTCAGTCGGTCTCATGCAAGTGCTATATCAAAGCCCACTCGCGCCGTACTAGCTAGGAACAAACTCATCAGTAACAGCCTGGAAGGTTGACAACTTGTCAATGACCTTTAACGATGTGTGAATAATGTGCTTTGAACAGCACCACAGACCCTATACACTACGTTCTCTGGGTCATGTGAGTGATTCTTCACCCGGTTCATCTCGTTATGCGCATGTCTGTGGTGAAGGATTACACCTCGCAATGTTGACGTCTCCCAAACTTCCGCCCTCATCGGTGACCACAGCCTGCGCCGTCAGCACCGTTCACGACTGTTCTGTGTTGTTAGACTTGTGTCTGGCAATGATTAGCCACGATCGTGATTTATTTCGACCGTTGTCCGTTTATCATCGCCCATGTGGAAAATATACAATTACGAGTTCACAATGGGTGCTTCGCGAGTCCATAGGAGCCTCCGAAGACTGGATTCAACTCTGATCTTTACCGTGACATTTTGCACATGCATTTCTGAAACGAAATGTGAATATTGACAGCAACCTCCAAGCACCGCCTGTTCCGCTGACTTGTCCAGCTGTTCTGTACCTGAATACACTTCATTAAAGAGGGGCTTACATCTCGTGTCGTTGTGCAGACTTTGTAAATTGCGTCCTTTGTGAATCCAACTTTGACTCTCATTAGCGCAGTCGTTAAGTGTCGGGGTTAAATGGGGTTTATCTTTGCGATCAAGATTATTGCACTTCAATAGCGACGTGCGTGCGCGCGTGCATGTTCTTACTAGTTGACTAATGCCAGTTTCATAATGCATAGGTTCTTATGCCAACCCAATGAGATACCATGCCGCAGTTTAACGGCCAGTCATTGTTTTACCCTTTTTTAACCGAAAGCCAGGCAGGGTAACAACAAGTTTGTTTGTTCTTTAACGCCGCACTCAGCAATATTCCCGCTACATGACGGCGGTCTGTAAATAATCGCGTCCGTCGGAACCAGACAATCCAATGATTGATATCATTGATTATCGATCCTAGCAATTGGGAAACGATGACATGCATCACCCAAGT